AATAAAGTTGTAACATTCTGTATCTCAGGGCCACTTTACACAGGTTTACTGGTTTCACTATCATATGATAATTACAAGGAGAATTAATAGTATGAGAGAGATGACTATGCAGGTTTTAAACTATGACCTTTCAATTAAAAATATTTTGAATATATATATATGTGTAATTCCTCTCCCTCTGTTTCTCCCTCTCTCTCTCCCCACCTATAATTCTGATCTAGCTTCAGTTGCAAACTGCATGTCTAAGCTAAGACGGCCTCCTTCTATAGACAACGGACACTGGAATGTTTCAGAGGTGGTCCATGAACTTACCATGGATACCCTATCTCACAGTAAGGTTAATCAAGTTCTGCAGACCACTATCTTAGATTAATGTGACAGTATCAGACAACAAAAAATAGATGAGCTGAATCCCACCCAGCCCTTTTTCCCAAGCTGTATACTAACATCAGTGTTTCTACCTAAAAGAGGAAAACAGAAAACAAGCATTATTATCTATTTTGCTATGGTTCACACATGTGATTACATAAAGGATCCTCTCCTATCTATCTGGATGATATCAGACTACTCCAATACCTGAGGGGTCAGTAGGTTACCCACCACACTGTCGAAATGGCGAAAGTATCTATCATTATAGAGGCTTCAGCTGAGCTAATCTTCCAACCTGTTTAAATGCAAGCTGTGTGAAGCACATTTAAAAGATAAACCAAAAATGAAGACCATGCATTTTACAGACTCAAAATTAGATTGTATCCTCAAAGCACTGTCTTAGCTGCAGATCAGCTCAAGCAACAGTAAGCAAACAGCAGTTTCAAAGAAAAGAATCTATACCATTTCAGTAGATGATATAGATCACACACATTCTAATATACCTGCAAATTGGATCTTATTCCCAACAGAGGTAGAGAAACTAAGGCACAACAATACTCATACATGAGTAAATGTAACTCACCTACCTACCGTTGGCTTAATATCCTACAGGGTTATTCCATGACTCCTAGTTTCTCCAAACTGAGGGCAATGAAATGGGTACCTGGGGACAGTCAGCACAAGTTCTACATTTCCCATCAAACTGCATGTCTGCTTGCATTCGTGATAGCAAGGCAATAGCACATGCTTTGGAGTTTCACAGCTACAGGTAGTACAGAGATGAAAACAAAATTGCTAATCAGTGCTGTGACTAGCCAGCAAAAAGATGTGGACTGCACTGGAAGCTGGAATGACAAGAGGTAAATCCAAATCCTCTTTCCCCATTGGGGGAAAAAAAATAAAAACAACAACAACAAAAAAGAAAACAAAAAAAGACTTGGAAGGTATTGATAATATTTCACATGGCAGCTTGTGAAGGAGGATTAGCAGTTACTGAACACAGAAATGGACTTATGCATCAGGCAACAAGCTATACAAGAAAGAAACAACCTGTTTAAAAACCAGAGTCTTCCCATATGTTACTGAAATCCAGAAAACACCATTGGGTTTTAGCACTATTTTATTTGTACTTACAGCTAAGTTCAGAGAAGAGGAGGAGAACAGAAGCAGGACAAGATGAGACTTCAGGGTGAAACTTGTCTGCCGCAGAATAGCTATTTAATGGGACATGACCCTAACACCATTTCAGTGGTAGACCCTTATCTGGATCAGGTAGACTGCCACACCTCCTGCGATGGTTTAGGAGCTTTCAGGATCAGAAGGGATTCTGAGTGAGCAGAAGGATGCCTGAGGTTTGCAGAAAATTGATTGCCTCTAGGAAGATGATATTGAGGCCATGCCTAGACCTAGCTAGTTCTTTATAAGTATCTTGAGATGTGCACTTTTGCTTCATCCACACGTCTTGAAATTCAACTATACCCATTTTCAGTCATGAGACACAATCTTGTCCTACTTACCTGACGCGGTCATGCAAACATTGTCCCAGCTGTGTCTACTATCAACTTACTGTTCTGCCCCGCCACTGTCTACCTCCCCTCTGTTGCACCAAATGCAAACTATTTATCTTTGCTTTTCATGGCATATTTCCAAGCTACCTACCTGTCATGACTCTCGTATTTGCCCTGTCAAAAATGTCAAATTCCTCTGGCCATGGCCTTATGTTTTTCAAACAAGCACATTATTGTTTTCTCCCACGTCACTCCTTCATGCCTGCAAGCATTCAATTTCTTCCTCTTTTTAATCTCTACCTCATGACTTTTTGCCTACAAGAAAGTCTAGCAATAATTATGTACCTAGTAGACTGAAACTGTCACCTGTGTTGCTCATGAAGACTTTCTGGCACTCCACCACCTGCACCAGCATGTTTTTTCCTCTCAGAAACTGCAAACTCTTTGGAGCAGGGATAGTCTGTATTGTTAGCTGTTCCTCATAGTGGGATCCAGTGTGGTCCATGAATATTTGGAAGAAACCAGTAAGATTGCTTATGTATCAACCACAAAATGCATTTCAATACTTTACAGATGATGGCAGTAAGTTAGGGACAATGTATCTTCAAATCTCAGTTCTTAAAATGGTAAGATCTCCCAGTCTAAGCTGATAAAACGTAAATCAACTGATTCTGGTTTGCAGGTGCATATGATGCAGTTCTTCTTGAAAACACATCAAGGAATCGGTCTTTTTACGTTGCTCAACCAGCGATTGACAAACACTACACTAAAAAGAGGTAAAAACCACAGTGATGCAACTCAGACAGAAAAAAAATCCAGCTGACAATGAAACTATTCACACTATGTTTGACTTGCAGCAGATTGCCAGTTAAATCTTTCCACTGTTGTTGCATGGACTTGGGTCTGAAGGGTAGATTAATAAAAGAAATAACCTCTTCAAAGTGGTGCAAGTTCAATTTGAGGCCTGTCAGCCTCAGTATTCTAGTAAAAATGAAAATCTGTTGAGATAATGTTTCAAACCTTAAGAAATTAGATGTTTTATTTTGATAGAACTACAATGAATTACATGATTGGAAGAGTTGCCTGTACACTGAGGATATTCTGGAGTTATGCTGCGATCAGATCCGTGGCTTTCATTCACCTGCTGCAAGGTACTCCTGTATGTCAACCACTATCAGCTGAAAGCGATAATGTCTCTTGTTCTGCAGGTTTCTTATCAACAGTTTGCATTTGCCCACCAGCTTTGAAATGGTTTCATCACACATTTCAAGCACATGAATGCATTTCTCCAGACTAATGTTGCTGTTTATCAGCATTGCTTGGATCACAGGGCAGCTAGCTCCGCAATCTAGCTGGAATCAAATTAGCTGTTGACAATATGGTTGTAAATAAGCTGAGCAGCTGAATAGCTGTACATCACATGTGTGTGCAGCTTGATCTGCTGGAAAGTCTTAACACAAGACCTTCCTGAGAAACTTTTTGAAGTAGTTTTTACATCACTGAACCTTAAATAACTGCAGCTATATATGTGCCTTTGAGAGTGCAGACATGAGTTCAAAGAAGTGTGAGGCTTCCCTAGCTCCATGCAAATGTCTATGGGGAAAATGAGTCATGAACCAGTCCTCTGCAGTAATGAGATGGTCTCCTTCGGACACAAGCCACACTGAGCTGGCACAGACATAATGAGCCTCAGGCCCTGAGCTAAGATGATAGTGCAGATGTAGCCTAGAGGTTAGCATCCCTAATCACCTTCGATGGTCAATAGCGACAGGCTTCTTCCTTCCCCAAGGAGCATCTCCCTTCTCACCAACCAATTTGGCCATCTAGTTTTGTATCGAGCATCAGATGGTGTAAATAATCTGCTATGGCCTCAATCACTGCATTACTGGAGGTTGGGTTTGGAGCTTTTGAAGAAGGGTAATGCCTTTTGGAATGACAAAAACATTGGACAAAAAGTAATCCCTCTTTTCAAAACTATAAACTCAGCATTTTTCTTCCCATCCTTCATCCAGCTTGGCATAGTAAAGCATGATTTCTGCACCAAACCATTAGCTTCCTTTGTGCTTACAATGTAGAGTTCAGGTGACGAATCTATGAATAGACCTCTCAACAACCTCTCCCATCAGCTGCAGACCCCACACCACAAATGATTTCATCATTAATTAGCAAACCATTAAAGTCTCCAGAATTACAGTACAGTTGCCAATATCCTCAGCTTCAAACCACTAAGTACCTTTTCTTCTCTTCTGCTTTTTAGCTTAACAGGGAAAAAAGATGCATCTCTCGCCAATCTCGGTCTGAGTGCTCATCAAACACCTGGAGTGGTTATAGTTGTATTCCTGGAATTGCTATTCTTACTCACTCTTTTTTTCCTCTTTATTTCCAGTGATAGAACAGGAAGTTTACTTTTGTTTTCTGTTTTCCCTTTTAGTCAGTCATATGAACAGGCTTTATTTTGGCTTCCCCTTTCTCTCTCAATTTTTATTAGAATTCCCAGCATGCTGTCCCTCTCCTGTTTGATTTGATTTTTTTTTAAACCTTTAAAACACCTTAATACTCCTTTTGCTGTGGATTTCAGTAGCTGAATGCTTCATGTACTGTCACTGTTTCAGGTACTGTATCCTTGCTAATAGCAGCAAATAACAGTTCAGCAAAACTCCAAAATTATAAACTCTAGAGAACCAGCTTCTTGCAACATCAACTTTCGGATAATCTAGAAACAAAGAAGCCCATGGTGCCGAAGTTGATGTACAGCCTCAAACACCCAGCTCGACCCAGCTAAATGAAACTAAATGTCTAATGACCAATATGTCTATGATATATGTCACATAAATGAATTTAAGATTCTCCAAATCAATGTATAACATGTGAAAAAAATGTGGAAAAATGGTTAAAATAATCTGGTTTTGTTTTCTCCAAAATATTTGTCTCCAAAATATTTGCTACAAATGGGTTCCTGTGGCCCAGCTGGATTCCCAGCCCAATTCCTGACCTATTAGAACTATGTCAGGACATGCTACATCCTATAATATGATATGACCTCTAAAAAACCTCCTCTCTGGCTTATGTGCATCTTAACATAGCAGGTGTAGTAGAAAACACTGTACGTGTGGGTTTACTTACAGTTATGACAGGTAGCTCCCATGTAGCCTGTATCATTACAATTGCAGTAAAAGGTGGCCCAGGACTGAGAGCATTTTCCTCCATGTTCACAGTAGTTGGGTAAACATCTAATTGGAGACAGTTTTTAAAAAAAGCAATTAATTATAAACATTTCTGTAAAAATAACATGCTGGAAAAAAATAATTATAAAACTCTCACGTCCTCATTCAGGCAAGTTTCCTAGGGCTGAATCACTGTAGAGCACCTGAAATAATTACTTATTCCTTTAAATACAAGCACTGAAAACAACAAAATATAATTGTACCCAGCAAGTAAGTAAAAATCACTCTCAATAAAAACATTCCACTTGTCCTCCACTTGTTAGCAATTAAAGTGTGACAAACTTTCCGAGCACAGAGAAAGATGAGTAACAGGTGAAAATGTTATTGAAATCTTGTTTCAAAGGAGAATCCCCCTTTCTCTGATTAAACAAGCATCACTGTTACCAAAATTAGGCTCAGTTACATTTGTGGTAACAAAACCAGAATGAAAATCTCAGAAATGAGGGGGAAAATATGCTTTAAGTATGAGTTCCGTACTCTCTCTCATTTTAGTTAGTATGCCTCTAAAGTAGTATTGTGAAGCAAATCATTAAAAGAAGAAACAGCATGCAGCTTGGGAAGTGAACAGAAACAAAAGCTGTGGGAGATAAATTCAATCTCCAGGACAAGAAGTGGATGCTGATCTGAATAACACTGGTGTAAATGCAGGCAGTGCAATGGAGTAACACCAGCCTAAATGGAAAGAGAGTTTGTTCTGTTTGCCTTTTCTTTCCTTGTTTTCCTTCTCTTACCATATATTAGATAATATTTTTTACACTCTGACTTTTGAAAAATGAGTAACTTGTTTATACCACCGATTCAATTGTGATGGGTGGGTGGATAGAAAATGGGCAACTGATTTCTCTCTTACACACCAGCACTCCATTAGGGTTTGCTTTGGTGTAAATTGAGCTCCAAAATCCTTTTTATTGCCCAGATCTTTTAGTGGTGTTAGTGGTAAAGTTACTGATGGTACCTAGGTTTGTACTAGCTGAAGACATGATTTTATAGTAGCTCATCTCATCCTTAGGAAATGTTTTCATTTCCTCGTCTTCAATATGCTGTAGGCAAGTACATGCGTATACACGTATACTTGTCTATATAAATGTGAGTCTGAGATTTGTTCCAGAGCTCAGGTTTACTTGATCACTATTTATATCATCATACATAAAATTATAAAGATCATATAAAAAAATTAATATGAAAGATTAATTCATTTTTATTAATGCTTCCTCATTTATTACGGTCATTATTTATTATTCAAATATTAGAGACATAAGGAATTCAAGAATAAAGTATGTTATTTATAACTATCTGTAACATCTGTTAAAACAATTATAAGATATATCGGTCTTATAAAAATTGTTGTTATGGCTTCTGTTAATCATCGGGCTCAAATACAAAATGAGGAAAGAGAATGGGAAATGCATGCCTGGTTTTCCAGCTCACCAGGGAGCTGTTTTCAGTGCTGTGGAGAAAACGTTGTTCCTAAAACAAGAAAGAAATAAAGGCGATGGCCAAAACTGTTGGGTTTGCACCATCTTTACAAGGCAGGAAGTCTGAGAAGGGATGAGGCTTTGGTTTTTAATGGTATGCTGGGAAATCATCTAACAGAGCCTAACACCCTGCTGGTACAGTGACAGCCCAGCCAGCCCCTCTGCCATTACAACTGCTCCTGTCAATGGTGAAGACAGGTTTAGAGGTTTTGGGTCGATGATGAAGAAAGTAACAGCAGCCTACAGGATGGCACAGATAGGACTGCCTGGTCCGTGATCTGCACCCAGCTACGCTCTGCAGGACTGTGCCAGTTCCCTTGAACCAGTAACTCCCCAACAGCTTCGTCCCAGAGGTTGCAGGAGAAGCACAGTGGTTCAACAGCGCTATAGTGATATATATGAAATTTGCCTGTAAGAGCAGATTTGCTCAGATTTGTGCTTTGGTCGTGCTCGTCCTTGCCCTCAGCATATTGCCTTTACTTCTAGCTGCTATTTGGTGATAAACATTCATTTATGTCACCTATACAACAGCAGTAGTTATATTCACATCACAGGGGTCCTCGCAACAAGAAATCTCTAATGTCAATAAAGATCTTTGGAGAGGTAAAAAGAACAGTAGTGTGTTATTATCATAATTCATATCATCAGTGTAATGAACAAATAGGCTTTCTGCCTATTTTAAGCTACCTTTTATTAATTAACCCAATGTAGTAGAGCTAATTAATAGTCATTTGTGGTTTGCCAAAGGCCTGTATCAGAGGCTTAGCTACATTTATTCCCTTAAAACAGTTTCCTTTTAAAGGCTTTACAAAGTTGAAAGTCACTTCTCATTTCTACTTGTCTTACAAATGCAGATACTTTTTCTTCCCCCAGCAATGCAAAAATGCAAGTCGAACTAGCCATGTAAGCTTTTAATGATATTCATAAATTCAGAATTAAACCTTTTTTATTCCTTAGTCTATTTGCTTTAATTATCACCAATCACATTGATCTTGTTTTTGGTCAGATAACTAACCCTTCTAAGAGCTTATGAAACAAATTTCTTTGCAACTCTAATAATTACCATAATTCCATTCTAGCTGAGCAGTTGTGTCTTCATTAGAAGCAAAATTTATCCTAATTATCAGAGAACTCAAAATTAAGAAATAGCTATGATCAAAATTAATCACAGGTTGTTCCATTCACTAACTGTCCTGGATCCTCACATTGAAGGATTTAAATACATATAATTTAAAATATAAATTAATATTTGCATTCTAGTAGAATTGAGACATTTTAGCAAAAACCGCAGCGGTATCACAGAAGGTTTCATAGAAAAAAAATCTGCAGCAGGCAGCCCTTGACATATTTGCAATTGAAACAAATAAACAAATCAACTCAGTTTTTATGAGTATCATAAATGGGACACTTTGAAATTTAATGATTTGCCAAAGACAGTTTGTGACAGACAAGGGACTCTGATCTTCCAGGTTCCAGATTAATTAATAGAATATATCATGGTGAATGAATCTTATAAAAAAATGAATGTAGGAAATAAAATTTTCCCTCCTTTGGCCAAGCTGAAAAACACACAGCTTAGCCATCTAAGCAAGCAATGTGCAGAGCCTGCACAAAAGCATTCACCCTCAAAAGTGTATGTGTGCTCCCTTTGAATTCAAAGGACTAACCACATAGACATTAGAGGGCACAATTTGGCCCTTTGATAGGCATGATGAAGAAATAACAATGACAAAATTATTTGAGTGGGAAGGCTGAAGGAGTTCTACACATTTGATGTTACACTTGACTGGAAATAAACCCAGTACTTTTAAGAGGCACCCATCAGATTTTGTTACAGTCAGCACAACACATCCTGCCTGCACCACTCTCTGTTCTTCCTAAATAAAGAGGAAGAAAAGAGAACTATGAGAAAGAAAAACAGACCACACACCCTCAGTATTAAGACTGTCAATATTGTGAGACAATCACTAAGTCCCTAGAACTCCACAATCCCCTAACAAGAAAAGACATGAATTTTAGAAGTTTTTTTATCAGGAAAACATTTTCCTAAATATTATCTCAAATTCATTTTATTTCAGTGTGTTTTCCCGTTTATGGGCTGCAGCTATTTCATGTATAATTAACAAAATATAACATTAACAGGGATGACTTCATATAGTAGGCAGGCATGTATGATGAAACATGGTGTTACCATAACAGTCTATACTTTGCTTTGGTAAAATGGCATCTTTCCACTAAATTCAATAGATTGAGGCCAATTGCAACAGCATGGATTTTGGCCCTGCTCTGCTAAGCCACAAATTCGTGAAATTCCTTGCCAAAGGTTATTTTGGATACAAGAAATGGGTTCAAGGGGAGACCAGACAAGTGTTTTGAAGAGAAATCCACCAATGTTACTGCACAGACAACATGTAACAACTTTGGGGATTTACCAAGGGTAAAACAAATGAAGATCAGTGAGCATTAGAAAGCACCACAGGAGCACACCTCACTTTTATTTTCCCCTGGATGTGCGTTTGTGGCAAAATAACGGGCTAGGTCTCTTTAACTAAGGGGAGAAAACAGAATTAGCAGAACCAGAGGGAGAGAGAGAGAAACAGCGAGTAAAAACGAGACAGGCTGCAAAAGAGTTAACACTCTCCAGGCCTTTGGTTTTCCTCAGCACACATTCCCTCCTCATCACCACGTCTCCCAACTTCTCCTTCCTCTTGCAACTTTAGAAAACTGAACAACAACTTTTTAGAAAGTGTTGTGACATACTTTAGTTGTTTTCTTTTTTAAACTATCTACATTTTCTTCCTTAAATTTGTTATGTTATGAGAAGTCATGGAGTACAAACAGAACACGAGTACTGTCAACAAAGACAATTTTATTTTCCATGCTGGAAATCATTTACTCTATCACACTGAAGAGATGTAAAAAGAATCTAAAGAAAAATAAAGGCATTTTGTCATTTTATTAATTTGTCACAAAGCTAAGTTTTTCTTCTTTCTGAGATTTGCAAAACTTGATGACTAAACTTTTAAAATATATAATTATTTCCATTGTTGGCCACCTTGGTTCTCAGACTCTGCATTTGCGTACCACTGTGAGACCAACATTTAGAAGATCTGAACACTGATGCCAACTGCCCTCAGGCATGTGGCTGGGACAGAACTGTGGGAGGAGGTTGTGCTGGGATTGGCACGAATGAAGGGAAAAGAGCCTGTTATCTATGCCTTAGATAAAAGGCATTTTTTTTAAGGTTTGATTGCTTTGTTGTTAGAACACCTACATTTTTAATAGAGGTAAATGTGCTGACAGTTCATCTTGGCATCAGCAGAAAGGATTTTATATAAATAAATTTGAAAATGAAAAAAAGGGAAACAAATAAACCATCCTGTACAGACAGCTGTTTCATTTAGAATTCATCATTTTACAAAGCAAAAGCAGAAAAGCCATCTGCAAAAATCAAACAAACAAGGACAGAATATTATATCCTACATGCATCCCTGCAGTTGGCCTTTAATTTACTGTGGGGTGCACATCCTA